TACACATGACATTTTGGGGTCAGCAGTTGGTGGTTTGGATCGTATTGGATTCATCAGTAGTGGTTACGATGGTAAATACGTGACAGTTTGGTGTCAGTAGTCACGCAGCCATAAACTCGTGACAAAAGAAAACTGCGGAAGAAGTTATATTACATTAGACCGAAGACTGCATTGGATTGTCATACTACAAAAATTGAGCAAACGAGGCAGCAAATAAGGGAGATGTTGGCCACGCACTCCAACTACGCACAGATGGAACCATTGTGGATCTGTTTGCAGGACGAAATGGAATAGGACATTAAAGCCAGGCAACACAAGTTACACGCCGACTAGGTAGATCTAGATGCCGACGAAGGAAAAACAATAATGGACGCCTTTAATGAAATAATGGAGAGAAGGGAGGCTGAAAGAAAAGCTTACGACGAGAAGATGATGGTCGAGAGGAAAGCTGACCTAGAAAAAACAGAGGCTTAAAGGAAAGCAGACCAAGAAGAAGTGGTGGCAAGGCTGGAAGCCATTCACAACAAGACAGACGCCAACCAGATCAGATTGGAACCTGAAATGGAACAGCGAGAGAAGATGGATGCGTGGATAGCAGACATGAAGGATGTTTGAAGAGAGAGGATGGCTGCCAAGAAGCAAAGGAGGCCAATCCAGAGAAGATGGAGCCAAATCCAGGAGAAAAGGAGGCCGTAGCGGAGCGGCAGGAGATTCCTAATGAAGAGGCCTCAGTTCACACCCTGAGTGCATGCTGAAAAGAGATGATGGCCTGCCAAGAAATGATGGAGGCACATCTGGAATGTGAGGAGCCAACCTCAATGGACATGGAATCTGAAGCAGAGCATCGGAGGGCTCGAAGGAACATGCCATAGTGAAACTGGCAAAGCGTCAAATAAGTGGCAGAGCGACCAGCATCTAGGCTGCAGGGCTCTGCGAGAAGCCAAGGGAATGACCAGAGGAGATTGTGGAACCTGGAGGAAGTTGGTTGCCTCCTGAAGGAAGGTGTCCCGCTGTGTAAGAATGGAATGGCGAAAGAGGAACACTGTCACAAATAACTGGATCAGAGATAAGGTTGAGGTGGGAACCTGGAGAGTACGGATGCTCAGGAAAAGACTGGACATGCCAGGAAGGCAGAATGAGAATAAAGGACCTAGTCGGCAGATGGCCACGATATCTGAGGAAGCCAATGGAATGGGCACGAGGAAATTGTGGGTCCCTGGAGCAATTGGTCCTCGCTGGAATTAGGATGACCCACTGTGCAAAAATGGCGCGGCTCAAGGACCACGGGCTTTAGAAACAAGGCAAAGACAATATTGCACTGAGAACTTCAAAGGCACAAACGTCCATGAAGAAATGCTGGAAGGGTCCGGAATGCAAAATTGCTATAAAGAACCCAAGCACAAGTCAGCAGCTGCATCGTAAGAATGAGAGAACATCAGAGGAGTTCGACAAGAAGGCTTTCAGGCTGGAATTCGTGAAGCAAGTAACGGATTTCCAGCGGATTGCGGAAAATGAGGAACTGGATCTTGCGGAGGGGTCGGCCCCCTCCAGAACAAAAGAAAAACCTACTAGCAGCATTAGCATAAGAAGAGCCGGGTATGTGGGAGCACTGGCCACTCCAGGAGTTATGGCTCACCATGGGAAAGAAAGAAAAAAGAAGAAAAACTTTGGATGATGGTGAGAACCTGGACTAACTGGGACCTTATAAGGGAACCGCTTGGGACAGTCTGGCCTTAAGGAGGTAACAGTGGTATCGGTTAGAGAGCCGCCACTGCAGACAAAAAAGAACATGCAGGAAGATGTTGAAAGCACAGCCCCCGGAAAGGAAGGAAAGGCGATACACCATTAGGCTATTTAGGATGAACAGCCTTAAGGAGGGAGCAGTGTTCCATATTTGCTCCATGCAATAATGGCTGAGCAACAGAAACAGCTGTTGCTAAGTAATACGAGTACATGCATACAACAATAGAACAGCGGGGTTATGCAGTCCGTTTTTAGGCAAGGGCTTGATGAACACCCCATGATATGCATACGCAAGAATATGATGAATATTATAGCTTGTTGCTAGGCAGCAGTCAGTGCACCAATGGACTGGCGAGATAGCAATCACGTGACTTTTGTTTCTATGTAGTCTTTGTGGAGCCTATATAACAAGAATCTGTTGTAGTTTAGATTAGATTAGTGCGGTGCAGTGCATTTGAGAGTACAAGGACGAGAATGGAGCATGTCCTTAGTGAATTGTGAAGATTAATTGAGCATAGATTTGGACAGAGGAGGAGAGTGTGATTAAAGATAAAATAACAAGGCTTCAAAGTGATTTGAATTGCTAGTTTCTGTGTTGAGTTCTGTTGCCAGGAGATGACTAGTGAAGACAGAGGATCCTTGTGTGTATGCAGTGGTGAACCAAAAGTGTGTAGAATAGCAATGGCATTATAATCGAGTGTGATTAAGAGAACTTGTAACTGAAGTGCCAATAAATCCAATCATGAGATCTAGAACCCGTTATTTTTTTATGCATACCCCCACACCCTTGACAGTATGCTTATTGAAGCCAGTTTTAATTTGCAGGGTCTGCATATCAGTTATCTATCGCTGATGCCATATAAAGTATTTGGATTTACTTTCTTTAAAATGAAGTGAAATTATGTTTTATTGTTTGGCTTAAGAGCCATAAAGTGACTGTATAGGCTAGAGAGCTATTCCTGTAAAGGTTTTTCTTTTTGTCACCTTATCCAGAATGGCTCTGTAGTGTCCTTCCCCACCCACACATACACACACACACTTGCATATGGTAACATCAATTATTATATTTACAAATATATGAAAAAGAGTTTTTCCTGATTTGGCATCTGAAAAATGAGGGATCATGAACTAAACAAATTGTATCATGAGTACAGATGTTTGCGTCACAAGTAGTACAAAGTACTCATATTTATTGCTGTTCATAACACAAACAGGCCTGGGTAGTTGAACTTTATGTTATTTCAAAACTGTATTAAGTAATAACAGCATTAAAACCAGACAGAAGAGTTGTTCCATGAATTTAAGTTGGTTTATATTTGAGTAAATATGGTACAAAGCATGAACAAGAATGATTCACCCAGTTTTAAGATAATTTTGATTGACTTGACATAGTTTCAGGCATGGGATCTAGAGATTTCTGTCATGCTAGCTAATAATTAAGGAATGTGAAATAATTGTACAGCAGTGTGTTGATTATATGAATTTGAGTTGTCCAAAACGCCAGCCTTCAAAATACTAGGTCTAAAACGCTATTTTGAATAAGATGTGAGAGAAAATGCTTTTGTCAGTGTACACAACGCCAAGCAGGATTGTGTGGTAATACAGGGTACCGTGGGTTTTATGAAGTTCAGTTCTTCACACGATTACTGACTTTCCTGACTTACATGTTCTGTAGGTTTTCTCAGTCACTCCAGATGAATGCCAGGGTCCCTGCAAATATGCCACAGCTGTCTCCATGAAGTTCTTTTCTTAGTCACCACTCATAATAATCTATGTCATTCAGCACTGTGTAACTTTTGCAGCTGTAACAGCATTATTATTGCTTATTGTTGCTGGTTTCTAGCTCAGCTTAATTTTCGATTCCAAAGATGGAGGTAGTACATTCCTCCAAAATGCCAGTGAATTTCTACTGGCCTACACAATGTTATATCCCTAGAAATAGTACCCTTTGTATTTTGTGTTGTTTGGTAACAACTTTTAAATATGTTTAGATTTATGTTTTATTAAAAACGTTCCACTGAATGTCAATTTTGAGTGGGTAGCATGCTTGCTTTGTATTTTGGAATTCCCAGGCTCAAATTTTGACCTGACTGATGTTTATCTTGTCTGAGGATTTTGTGGTTTTTCTCAGTCCCTCCATTCACATGCTGAGATAGTAGCTCACAAAAGTCCATGATCACTTCTTTCAATATCCTTTGCAATTCATAATTCACTAATCATTCAACCTTTCAACACTACATAATTTGAGCTATTGACAGCATGGTTAAATAAACCATAAATTAATGAATAGGCTCTAATGTATTGTACCAATTTATACCACAAAGTAGGAAGCCGCGGTTAGAAGTACATTAACTTTTATGTATCGTATTTATTCAATTAATGCATCTTCATCCCAGAAGATGCAGTACTCTTATGTCTGTAGTCTGCTTAATTTCATGTTCAGTTCCAGTGTTGTTCAGTTATCTGAACACTTCGATAAGCTAAACTCAGTCTGCTATTTCTTGTTGCAGGTAGTTCTTTAATATTTTATTCTGGTGTTATGTGATCATCCAAATTGATCATATGAACTAGGTCTGTGATTAGGTCAAACACATGACTGTGTACTGTATTGCAGCAAGACAGTTTCTGAACACAAATTTGCAATAATTCTAGTGTACTTTGAATTAGAAGGTAGGTGAATGAGAAATACAATTTTTAAAAAGCTCATCCCCCCTTGGATTAGGAAATGTTGTAAATCAAGTCATATTTCCTGAAAGAAAATTAATTTATTGGATGTAGGGAGAGAACTTGGAAATTCTTTAATAAGCAATCTGTGCTTTCATATGCATTCAAGTTGAGTAGTAGCATGTTGATCTTACTGATGGAAGGGGCCTGTTACCTCCAAAACAAATTCCATGTTTTCCAAAGAATTGCTTGAATACCCCCCCCCCATTCTAAAGTGATAAACTTTTGGGGGAGATAATATATTGGGTGAATGAGTAGGTAGATCTTATACAGGTATAAATAGTGTGCTATATTAGGGAGGGAGGATGGTTAATACAAGTTGTGGCTATTTGTAAATCTTTCGCAATTTGCCATTCATAATCATTTTGAGATTTGGCACCATAATCAGTGTAGTTGGCCACTGAATAAACCAATGAAGAACATATTTATGTACATGTATTTTTGGTATTGTGAGATAATATATTATGTGTAATGATTGTTATAATTATGCTCTATTCATAATCTCACTAATGATTTAATTTTATGTCTAACAGGTTGTTTGAAAAGGTTGTTGTTTACTGTGACACATTCATCAACTTGATTCCACTATCGTTCGTACTGGGCTTCTATGTAGCATATGTGGCAAGTCGCTGGTGGCAGCAATACATGGCCATTCCTTGGCCAGACAAGTAAGTCTAATAAGGCCTTATTAATAAGCTCTGATCAGTTTTTCGTAAGGATATGTTATTTAGAATTCTATACAACTTTATTTTTACTTTACTCCCTTTAGTAATGGGTCTGCTTTTTTGTTTCAGAATAATACTAGAGACTGCTTTTTAGGTTCACTTTTGTAGCAGTTTTGTGTTGTCTTAGCAATTGCATGACCTGACTGCTGTGATTGAATAAATAGTAATAATCATGCTTTAGTTAATAAGTAAATATTTGTGAAATCAATTTTATTGAAAATCTTAATAAAATGTATTATTCAAATTGCACAAAACAGATTATTAGTTTACATGAAGATCTGAATAGATTTGTTAATATGTTTCAGTGATTATTAGTTCTATTTTAAAATGTTTCATAAAAGTTGTAGGTATTAATGCTCTTCGAGTAGTATTTTGTGTACATCATTTTCATAAAGCAGATGTCATGGTTGAGAGGTTAGCACTCCTGCTTTGTTTTTGGTTGATCCCTGGTTCAATTCTTGTTTCAGAGTTTTTTTTTGTGGTTCTGTAAACAGATACTGGAATAATACATACTATACCAATATCTGTCTGGAGAACTATGTATATGGTAAACAAGCGGTTAGTCGTTGGCTTTCCACCGTGGCTGCCCGGGTTCGATCCCGGGTCTCGTCAAGTGGGATTTGTGGTGGACAAAGTGGCACTGGGGCAGGTTTTCTCTGAGTACTTCGGTTTTCCATGCCAATCTTCATTCCACCAATTGCTCTACCATCACCCTCACCTATCATCTGGGGCTGGTACAATAGGCCAGAAGTGGCCACAGTACAAGGGACTTAGTCCCACCCCACTAGCAATAAAAAAAACTGGACTGTGACATCTTTTCCCAGATCCATCCTATTTAATCTTTCACAATCACCCTGCCAGTCGACATCATGTAACCTATGTAAGTCCCTTAAATAGGAGTCAGGATAGTTCAGTTGGTACAGCAACAGGTTATGGCCTGGACAGCCTGGGTTCGATTCCTGGCAGTGCAAGATTTGTCTCTTTTCCACACTGACTCTTGGGCCCACCCAACCTCCTATACAGTGGGTAGCAGGGGCCCCATCTGTAGGAGTGAAGTGGCAGGAGTGTGAAGCTGACCACTCTCCTTGAGCTATCGCCGAGGTCAAGAAAGTGGAGCTTTGCCTCCACTCCTTCATATGTCTTCATGGCATAGTGCTTAACTAATTAAACATGGGGACAGCTTTACCTTTTAACTCATGTAAATAAACTAAGAAAGCCAGAAGGCCGCACCATAGCTCAAGTGGTTAGTTGCTGGCTTCCCACCGTGGTGGCCCAAGTTCGATCCTGGCTCTGGTCAAGTGGGATTTGTGGTGGACAAAGTGGCGCTTGGGGCAGGTTTCCCCTTCCAATTTTCATTCCACCAAATTCTCCATCATCATAATCACCCGGGGCAGGCTACAATAGGCCAATCAGTGGCCGCTGTGCCGAGTGGACCCAGTTGGACTCCACCCTCCACTAAGCGAATTAATTATTTAATAATTAAGAAAGCCAGAAATATTAGCTTCATATATTATGTTCTTTTCAAGATAATGATCATCAAATACCAATGAGAACTTCATGGTAAACCAGCAGTGCATATTTGTGATGCACTTCCCTTTTGCAAAGTTTGCTACTCTTCTTTCTCTGTCCTGTGTGCCTGTCTCTGCTTATACTTTTTCCTGGTTTAAAGTGTTAGGACTCTTGATGTTTGTAATGGTTGAAAGCTGAGGCCATTTCTAGATTTCCTCATCCAGGTTCTATTATATAAATTTATGTTTTTCCTGTGTGGTAGCTTTATTTATGCCAAAGTGTCATTCATGTAAAGAATAATGGTATAAATATGTGTGTTTATCCTTCGATTAGCAAGGGTTGTTTTAACAGAATTTCTATATCTTTGTGTCATGTTAGAATTAATCTTTTTTATTAAAATTGTTTTTACAGAATCATGCATTCAGTTGCATTATACGTAACTGGAAATGATGAGTATGGCCGAATGGTCCGTCGCACATTGATGCGGTACTTGAACTTGACTCTTATACTTGTGCTGCGCTCCATCAGTTCTGCTGTCAAACGTCGCTTCCCTACCCTTGAACACCTCGTAGAGGCAGGTACAGTATGCAGGCAGGTAGACAAAGAAATCCAAATTTATTAATCTTGCTCTCAGTGGACTCATCTTGTATGGTAATTGTATTTGTAGTATTACCAAAACCATATTGCTGAAATACATATTACATATATTGTCATGTAGTATGGAGTGATTCTCGACGGGGTTTTGGATTGGATATTGGATTTATTGACCGCTTTAACACAAAACTTGTAACTAAACTCACTTATAGCACCATCGCTGATCTGCACACCTTACTTACACTTTCATGTGTATTTGTTGCCATGGGAATGTGTTTATCAAGCTGTTTTCTAGAAACAGGTGTTAGTTCAGAGACGATCCCTAGCAACGGCTGTTCCTTTGGCTCCATAGTGCTTGCTTTGGGCAATATGCCACATTATTATAATTGTCAGTTAGCAAATAAGATATTTATGTGTGTTGAATTTACATTCCTTAATTTAGAGCCAAATATTTATTTACATTCTATTCAGTATAGGTACCTTATTCAGGTTGCCTTTATATTTATTGTATTCTTTTATATTGTCACATATTAGTGACTATACATGGGGCTTCAGCTGATAAGTGGATTTATTGGACACTTATAATGCGTGACTAAATGATTATAACAGTCTCACTGCTTTGCACCTGCTGCTGTTCCTCGTTATATAGCCTTGGTGTTGGCCACATAGAAAGCACCACATCCTCTATTGTGTTTTGATTTGTTGCTGTGAAAATGTGTTTGTTGCCGTTGCCTAGCGGTTGCCGCCTCTTATTCCATTATTCTGGCTTACAGCTCTCCTGTCACATTACTTCCTCCATAAGGTTGCTTGTCCTGAGTAGCCTACAGGTATATCACCATTTCTTCTTTGAGAGGATGTGCCCTGACACATCTGCTTCCTTTCTTGATGGCATACAGCCAGTGGCGTAGCATGACTACCGAAAGCAGGGAAGCAACTTTATATACGTGTATATAAATTTTTTCTACATGCCCTATAGTTTCTATCTTCTATTTAAAAGGAAACAGCTAATAGTTTAATATGTATTGTATATTTAAGCTAATATATTAAAATAACACATAATTATCAACACAATTTTATAGCCATCAAATGACAGGGTTGTGAACCTGGAATATAATTAATGCTTACTTTATTGTTTATAATTCAGCTCGATTCTTCTGTTTTTCTTGGCAAACAGATCAATAACCTCATCTAGAAAGCTGGGTTTGGACTGCAGTTTGTTTAGGAAGGACTTTTCAATGTTCATCAAAGCCAGTGATGACAACCTATCCTGGTTCTGCGAATTTCTTAAGTAGTTTTTTAATCTCTTCAGAGCTGAAAATGAGCGTTCATCTGCAGCACTTGTCGCTGGTATTGTTAATACTAGCTCACATAATTTGAAGATTTGCGGGAAAACGCATGATAACTGAAGAGCATACATATATTGATGTAAGTCATACACACTATCTTTTGCCATATCTGGGTCCGAAAACATTACTAAAAGTTCACTCTTTAAGGCAACAAAGTCAAAAAATGCACCATAATTTTCTTTTAAACAGGAAAATGCTTTTTCAGGAAATGAGGTTCTATACATGGGAAAGTATCTGGCATCAAGAAGACTCAAGAAGAGGAGCGTAGCGTTCTCCGAAAATCTAACAGAGACATTCTGACACACGACATCAATAATTTCACAGAACAGCCGTTTATAGGAGTTTTTTCTTTCTTCTCCACTCATTGAGTCAATGCGAATTCTTTTGGGTCGAGTTGGGCCATTTGAATCGAAGACATTTTCCATTTCACTCCAAAGGTGGTCAAATCCTCCCCTTAATCTTTGCATGTGATGCTTAAATTCGTCTATTTTGGTATTGCAAAAAGCTATATCAGATCTCTTAGTTTGTAGGATTTTGAAAAGAGCGCCAGAATATGGAAAAATTGAAGAAAATATTTTCAGCATGAAATTGAAATCGAAATCCCTTAGAAGAGAGAGAAGTCCGCGTGCAGAAGAAATTGTTTCTACATCCCATTCTTCTGGTTCCTCTATTATAGACACAAGAAGATTCTCAATTCCTTCTCTGTATTCATGCACAGTTTCAGCAAGTCGGCTATGGTACTGCCATCGAGTAGGTGCGATAGAAGGAAATCTTTTCCTAAGGTGGGAATCCAATGCTTCAGTCCTTTTTGTGGACTTGGCAAAAAAAGTTCTAAAGCCAGAGAGAGTAGCAAAGAAGACCTTAACTTCCTTAATAAAACTAGCAGATTGTGCTAAGACTAAATTTAGTCTATGCGCATAACAATGAACAAAAATGGCGTTTGGGTACTGCTCGCGAATTTTTGCTTGTACTCCTGCATGTTGTGATGCCATAACAGCAGCACCATCATAAGTCTGTGCAATGAGTTTGGGACCACATTCAAAATCATTTAAAATCCCAAGAGCATGGTTAAATAAGGAATTGGCAGAACGGTCAGAGCTCACGTCTGTAAAACGCAGAAACCTTTCTTCAACATTGCCATCAGCTGTCACATATCGAAGAACTGAAGCCAACTGACATTCATTCATCACATCTGAAGTCTCATCAAGAATTAAAGA